TACGAAAGGAAACCGGAGTGGGAATCAAATGGGAAAGGATAAACACTGAGGTAGATTAATCGAATTTTAAATCGAATCGGAAGCAATTTTAATGGAGCGTGTAAAGGAAAGCAAGGGCGATGCTTGGGAATAAGCTAAATAATAAATTGCTGTTGTTGTCTTTTCTGTATAGAAACAGTTTCGAGAGGAATGATCGATCTTTATTCGTTTTTTAAAAAAGGTTCTTCTAGAAGTAATTTGTCACATTATATATTGAATTATATTTTTTGTCGAATTATAGAACAATAGTCAGTTGTTCATTCGTATTTTATTAGATAACTAATAAAGCCACGTGATTGCATTTTTAATGTATCTATTAGATTTCGTGCGTTAATTAAAGTATTTCCTTAAAAGTTGAACAATAATCATTTTAATCTTTACCACTGTAATCGCTGTACATTTAGTCACAAGTTCAATGTGGAAGGAAAATTTTACTTTCATGTAAAATGTTGTAGTTGATCTTGATTGGTTATGCAGTTCTTTATTTTTACGTTTAACTTTAAAAAAACATAATGGAATAGAACTCATTTCATTTACTTAGAGATCTACTAAATTAAAAATCATTTCTTTAGACTTCGTGTGTTCCATAATTACAGTTCTGCGGTCAGAAGTGAGTCAAGAAATAATTACATAAGTGAAAGTGTCTAGTGAATTTATGCACTAATGACAGTAATTAAAATAATAAGAATGTTTAAATAGAGCTAATGCAGACATAAATAGTGTAATTTAGATTCGTTCCATGTAAAATGTCTACATTCTTCCTTATAAATGATCACTATAAATTACAGTATTAAATAAATGATTCTATTTCTTTCTTAGAAGTAGATAATTTGTTCTTTTTTAAAAATAAAAATACGTTTCACGGTGATATTTTAACAAACTACTTCTCTGGAATAATTTTTTCTTTCAACAATATTTTATTAAACTTAAAGGCAGACTACCAAGTACTTTTGGATGCACCGTAGTAGCAATCGTCGATACTTAAAATAAATTACCAAAAAACTGTTGTATTTAAGAAGAGTAGCAAAACAATAAATAATTTGTTTAACAATAAGTAAAAGTATTTTTTTGCAATAATTCAATGAATATACAAAGTCTCTCCCACGCCTTCGCTTTTATTTCGGAGTTGACTCGGTAGATGCTGCAGCATATCTCTGTCGCGCATTTATCGAAAGATTATTACTCTTAAAAACATTATCTTTTACGTTTTCCTGAAAAATGGTCAACTACTGTTACCAGGTCAATTACTGGTGCCTTTGCCTTATGTACGGGTTATGAACTGCGTATTTTATATTGTGCATTCTTTTTCCTGTACACATTCTTCACGTGCGCTTTTCTTCCGCTTTTCTCTGGTCACCATTTCACACACGTTCATCGTGCTTCAATATGTCCATTCCCACATCACAGTTCAGCGACATCGATGCTGTCGATACGAGACACCGTAACGTTGGACCAACGCGGAGCGCGCCGGGTGCGCACACCGCGTGCACAAAGGCTCCCGAAATAAATCAACCGGGCAATTATAGAATTAAGTCAGGCCCGATGTGTTAGCGGAAAACACGGTTGAATCAGAAACGGCACCGCGGCTCAAAATACTGACGCCCCTCCCCGGCGCGCGGCTTTCATTGACCTGCCAAGGACTCGCGTACGATGCTTTACTTTTGTTGTATGGAAATTAACGAGCAAGAACTGAGAATATGAAACGAGGCACAAAGAGATGGTCGCGCCACTCCGCGGCTCCGTCTCCCAGCCGATCACGTTGTTCTTTCTTGCTTGAAAATCTTTCCCTGTCCGACGATTTTTACACCGTAAAACAGATTTAAGGGTCTCCTATCGAACGACCCTTTTATCGTGTCGCTGCCGGTGACCTTAACCCCCCGGTCGGGGGATAAGCGACAATCAAACAGTATTTATGACGCATGATAAAACAGATTTTTATATTATTTCTATCGTTTTCTTGTGTCGTTATTAAGGGTAAGAAGGCCAGGCTGTAACTCGCCGAGAGGATAAAGGGGTATAAATTACTACGGCTTTTTGGAATTAGTGTACGCGGCGAACGTAGGCTGTTAAAGTTTGTTTCCGTGTAGTATATTGTTCCTTTATTTTTACATTGATGCATTAGACGCAAATTTTAATAGATAATACTTTAGCAGCTCATAAGTGGAGAACTATTAAAAGCTTACCGGACGTTCGATTAAAGATTTTTTGAATGTATGGTTAGTTGGACATTTAGTGACGAGGCTGTTGATAAAACATGGTGATTATATATTGATTTGAAACTGTGCGTCGAAAATAATTTAGTAAGTTTTTTCGTTTTAACCCCTTGTCCTGTGATGTATTTCTTAACTATAGTCGATAGAATTAGTTTGTCGTTAAGAATTTACTGAAAAAATTGTATGCTCTTTCTATATTTAAATTTATTCTAAATAATACAAATTAACTCTAAAATGCAAAATTGCAAATAAATAATTTAATTATTCAACTAACGAGAGACTAACATATGGTTTTTTTCTTTTAGTATTTTAGACTTCGATGCATAATTCAGTTTCTTTATGAAAAGAAATGTCACAAGTTTAAAACAGTCTCATCGAAAAAAGAGTTAATAGAAAATTGTCGACCGTTAAAGATTAATAACTCGAAAAATAATATTCCATTCGAATTCGAAAGAAATGAATGGCATTTGCATTTGTTAAATTGTATTTGAAATCTACACCATGAGTCTGACACGAAGTAAAGCAACGAGTCAATATCGAACTTTATATAATTTACAGATTTCTTGTTTATTTTCAATTCTGAAAAATCATCGTGCAAAGTTTCACTCAAAATGATTCACCAGTGTTTGAATATAATTGTCACCCATCTGACAAAAAGGAGTTCTAAAAAACGACGCTTAAAGTGTCAGGTATAAGTAGAAGTGAAACTGTCTATCCTGATTATTAGCTGCACCAGTAAGTTATCTTCAATTTCGCTGAATTGCAAAAACATGTTTCCGCCATTTTCTCATTTAAAGATAACGGACGATGTTCAGGGTCAAGACGAATGTTATTAAAGTATCCAAGCTATTGATATCCTTTAAAGTAAGTATTAAATTTAACGAATTATACTGAATCGTTTACTTGCACAGAGTAAGATGCAATTAAGTTTATATGAAATACATTCAAATTATAATCAAGCTATACCGTTTAAAGTGCTATGATTTAAGTGTATTTTATTCTAACAAGAATTTAATGTATTTTTTATCTATAATTTAATATGCTTTACTTGAACCTATAAAAATTTTTATTTAAATTGAACTATTTAAACTGCTAGAAATTCGTAGCCGAATAAGGTAATAAATTTAGTATAATAAATATTTTTTAAATTAGACGTAGTTTTATTCTTACTATAGCTATTATATTATATATAAACAGAGTCTACACTTTTGAATAGATATTGACTGTTGTAAATATCTACTTAGGTATTTATAAATATAAATGCTCTAAAAATAAAGTAACATAATAAGAACTATATATAAAATTTCTACACAACTTTTATTTATAAAATTTTATATTAAAAAAAGGATTAAAAAATTTTAATTGAAAGTGTTCAAGGAAAAATAGGTTCCTTATTTTATAATTAAAATGTCCTCTCGTTAACGTTCGACGTAAAACTAATTACTCCAGAATTCAGCAACGTAAATTTCTTGATAGAAGTCTTGATTGTTGTTAATATAATTTTTCTTTTATTTACTCGTATTTTATTGAGGTGATTACACCTGTATACACCTACACTCGAGCGATTCAGTTACCTGACTCACCTGCGTCAGGAACGATGTATAGATAAGAACATACTGAATTGTTCGCAGGTGTACATGGTTTATTATTTTTAAGGATATCATTGATTATATTTATTTTATTTATTATTATTATTATAAGAGTTAATTTTTGTAATCTTTAAAGTGTTGTACATTTTAAAACAACGTTTCATAATAAATTTATATTGTCATCTATAACTTGACATACAAGTAGAAAGGGCTAATATTAGAAATTACAGCTATTATTACGTTATTTCTGAAAATTATTTCGTATGTGTCTATGTAAATTAAGACACATTCATTTTTCGCAAGAAAGTGAGAAGAGAAAGGGGACATAAAAAGGTAAAATAAAATAATCTAAAAGAATATGGATGAAAATGTATAATTGGAAAAACTGTTAAATTTAGTAGGCTGTTATTGTATCTAATTCTAAAATAATCAGAAGATAAATAGAATAAATCATATGTTTGATATAGTAGAACCTCGATTATTAGCACGTCAGTTATTTAGGTAAGTATTATGAATATATATATACTACATACAAGTAGTATGAATATATATAGGACTTAAGTGTTGCGTCTTATCAGTTCAGACAAAAAGTGAAATACTGACTAAAAATAATTTTTCGCGTGGAATGCGAGTAATTCAATTATCTCATTATCTCAAATGATTATCAATTAGTTCGGATAAGTGAGGTTCTATTATGAAGGTAAAATAAAACCATTTATCATTATTACTACAAAATTGTACTAATTATAAGATTACTTTCTACGAATCAAGTTTTCTCTGTTTTTCGTTTATGCTATATGCTTTTAATTTTAAGTTTCAGTTTGATTTTCTGCATTATATAATTCGGATAAGAGAGAAATTTTCTATTATTTTTTACTTGATTGGTAGCGTTCTAGCATGCTTCTTGAATTATGTCGGTGAAGTTCATTACTGTTGTATCTGCTTGTTCGGAAATTTTGAAGGCTATATTACAATTTATATTGGTTTCTATATATATTTTAAACTGAGTCCAGTTGGTACTGCTATTGTATAAGTGTACTGTTTCATTTGTGCGTATTGGTTTGAACAAATAATTAATGAGGATTGGAGGATGGTCAGAGATAAGATCTAAACAAGACTGGATTTCGAACTGATATTTAAGCAGTCCTTTGATTATTGCAAAGTGCAGTAGGTCTGGAGTGTTTCTTGTGCCGTCAACCAGTATGTTGGTTCACCAGTTGTAATTGTATCTAATGAAAGTTTTCGTATTGTATATTCTAAAATTTTTCCTCGTGGTAAATTTATTTTGGAGCCCCATAGGTTATGCTTAGCATTATAATCGCCGTCAGCGATAAATTTGTTCCCCAATGAATTAAAAAAACTTTCATATTGTTACACAGATATTTTTTTATTTGAAGGACTGTAGATAGCTGATATTGTAATATTTCCTTGAGCAGTGTTTATATTTACGGTGATAGCTTGTACGTGTATATCGGCGATCAGGCATTGACCAAAGTATTTAATATCCTGTTTAATGATTATCATCGCTGATCCGCCGCGTGCACTGCCGGGTGAGTGTTTGCCATCATATACATTATAATATGGAATTTTAATATAATTTTTTGTAATAAGATGAGCTTCCGCGATAATGATTACGTCGATGTTCTTAGTGTGTAAAAATAATTTCAACACTTGTAGTCTTTGTTGTAACCCATTTGCGTTCCAAATTGCTATTTTCAATATGTCCATTGTTGTTTATTGTTATTGTTTAGCATGCATGTGAAAAGTTCGATTGTTTTATTAATTTTTTGTGATTGTTGAGTTAATAGTTGGGTTTGTTGTAGGAGCATATTAGTTATTAGTTCTGTATTTTTGGTTGACGTTATTAATAGTTTTTCTATTGCTAACATGTTAAATAATGATTCATCGTTTACAGTGATTGCAACTGTTTCTTCCTTTTTGTGAGTTCTAATTACTTGAGCGTACGTCTTGTTCCTTTCTACATTATAGTGGGTCCTTACGAAAATGTTGTTGTCATTTGAAGTCACAGTTTGGTTTGAAGAATTTTTGAATTATGTGCAATTGATTTGTGTCTAAGTCTGGGGAAAAGTTTTGCTGTAGCTGTTTTCTCATTATGCACTCCTTATAACTAGCAGGATGGTTTCCCTGGCAGTCGTAGCATTTAACATCATTTATTTTTCCTGTAGTAGAACAATTCGATGTCCAGTGTTTTCCTGTATATTTAACGCATGCAGGGGTCCTATTGCAATAATTTTTAGTGTGACCTTTACAGTAATTTAGTATGTTTGGCAACGAATACATTGCGGAATGTCTCTTTTAGCTCAGGGAGGTTCGAAAGATACTGTAGTGTTAAGCAGTCTATCTATTTTAGAAATTTCTTTGTTATTTTCCAAGCTTGAGCTCAGTGAAGGATAGCGGCAACGGTTGCTTCGTGTCGTGCTTATTCATATTATTTATTTGTCTTACCTGGTGGTAGAGCTCTTTAAGTTCATTACTTATTGCACTGGTGTTCGTTCTAGGATTCATCCCTCTAAGTACGATCTTGTAGCTTCTGTTTTTCTTCGGTTGATAGGTGTAAAAGTCTGCATTCTTTTCTTTCAAGGCCAAAGTAAGTTTGCTGTAGACCTCGATGGTGTTGACTTGCACATTGGCATGGTTGTCTTTTAGTTATTTTAAGGTGAAATTCTCGTTAGCTATATTCTTCATTAGGTCTATGAGGGACTCGATGATTTGAACTTCATGTTACTGGTGGGGCTTTTGATTGGGGTTTTTCAGTTACCGTTGTGGTGCTTCTTGTAGTTTCTTCGTTCACTTCTGTCAGAATGCTAAACGGATTTTCAACCGATATGCTGCTTAGCCACTTGTTATGTTGCGTGTATATTTCATTTAATAAATTAACAGTTTCACTGATTTTTTGTTTCTTCGTTGTATCGCTTTTACTGCTTCTGACAGTTCGTTAGTTTCCATTGGGTTTGTCGTATTTATTGAATTTATTCTCAGTTTTTTGGCTAACAGAGTAGTTCTCTCCAGTTTTGGTGAGTTTTAGTTGGAGGTTACCTTTTTGTGCCATTTGAAGTTTGAACTTGCCAAACGGCATGTTCTTCTGTCACTTACTTACACTAACTGCGAGCGAACGGATACACAAGTACACAATACAATGATAACCGATAGCTTCGCATAAACACGTCTGTTCATTTCGGATTCTCAGGTGAGACTGCATCAAATTATACTTTCAAATTTAAATATTATGAAGTAGCCACATTTCTTCTTGATATCGTAAATGTTTATGACCATTATACGTATCGTCTTATCGATGATAAAGCACGAACAAGGTTCTCAAATGATTCCTTGAAAGGATGTCATCATCGTGACACATTTCAATAATGCGATCAAAAGTTCAGGAGGAACTCATCGTAAACCAAGTGATTCATTGAAGCTCCCGTGAAAATCGTTTCGTGCTGCTTCTAATTACTCCGGTGACCTCGATGTATTTTGAAGAAGTAAAAGTATATACTATTTCTACATCTATAAACTAATAAAACTACGTGTCAATACTTCTGTAGACCGTTATAAAATTATAATAAAGTATTTATATTAAGATATTACAAACTGAAATGTAAAGTATACACAATAAAAATAAGTTGATGTAATGAGATATTGACACGAACAAGGAAACTCTGATTTCGTGAAAAACATATACATGTTACATAGTTTTATAATGTATGATTTTATATGTCTTAAATATTTAAGGTTAACTATACTAATTTGCTTATTTATTTTACGTTTTTTATTGTAAAATATTTAATACTAAACAGTTTTCTGTTGATAGTATTTTTTTTCATTGTGTAGTCATATGATGCAGTTTCAAATGAATTATTTATAATGGAACTTAATTCTTTATTCGTGATTCCTTAAATTAATGCAGTTATTCTATTCTTTCATCATTATATTTGTCAAAAATCTAGGATATATTATAAAATAAAATTTATTCCTTCATTTTTTATACTTTTATATATTAGATTTCTGAGATATTAGAAGTCTGGAAAAAATATATTATTATGTGGTGGACTATAATTATACACAAATTAACGAAATCATAAAAAAGAATCTCAAATCAGCTTAGAAAATCAGTACTTGTACTATTAGTTTATTTAATTTTATACATAATCCAGAACTACACCACGGACTTTTATGCAAATTCAAATTTTAAATTACAATTAGAAGAATGGAATTACGACAGAAACTAGTCTTTTCTAACAAATACTATAAAAAAAGCAGTACACCTTGGATATTTTACATCATTCATATGGTGTATTCATTCCGTGGAATTATGACTTTCTAAATTGTACATAAATCCATAAAAATTCGCAGTCTACCCACAATAAAACACAATTAACGTAAATAATCGTAATCTTACCAACGAAAATAATTTTTTCGCCACCCGAAATAATGAAGTCCGACGCCGAATACTATTTTAGCAAGTCTGAGTCGTCGAAACTGAGAAGTTGAATATTGATTGATTAAATTGCATATTACAATGTAAAAGTCGTTGTGTAAGCTGATCATGCGAAGTCAACAAGACGCTGACTCACATTGAACGAGGTGCGCGATAAAAACGAAAAGTGATGAATTCCGGGGAACGTCTAGTTCGTGTCTTCCGTTTTTTTTGGCAGTCACCTCGGGATCAAAAGTCGTACTCGAATTTTGCATTTCAGAGGTGCGCGAGAGTGACCTCCGTCACGTTTCAAAGTTACACGGACCGCCGATGGCATCGTAATTACACGTTGTAACGGTAACGAGCGTCAACGTTGTGAAAGTAACTAATCGGAATTGCGGTTAATGGTCAAACCAGTTGATCAATTAATTTTATAGCTCCTATATCATTCGTATATGCTGCGTGCAAATAGTTTTAGTAGCCTTCCTTGGTCTGCGACCGACCGTGATTTCATCGTTTCCTTTTTTTCACTTTTATATCCCTTATTTAACTGTTCCTAATGAGCGGAAGTATCATAAGCACATGGAAATCGGAATTTCGATTTTTATATTCTTCTTTTTCCGCGAGTATTGTACTTGGAAAATAGGTTAGGTAGTACAGAATGATACCAATCACAATTTCAATTGTTTAATTTATTGGGTAGTATATGAATATTGAAATACTACGTAGTATCTAAATAGTAAACAATTTTTAGTAGTATTTATCAGGTTTCCTTCTCTTTTTATGATAAATAGAAAATTCATATTCATTGAATTTTATTGAAAAATGTGCAATTTGAGTTATACATTTAATTCAATAATAACTGCATTTCATACGTCTGTAGCTTAATCATAAAAATGATATATAAAAATGTCATTTTAATTAAGAAAATGAAAGTTGTAAATACAAGTACATGAATATTCACGAATATCTACAATTTAATGATTAAAGAATCTATTTATTTATGACAATTGATAATACATGCTTTATTTAAAATATACGATTTTGAGAAATTATATTTTTACTGGTTTTCGCTGACACTCCATCTCGAATAGAAGGTCACTGAGTGCAATAAATAACCATATAAGAAACCCCAGTACCGCTAGTTTCTTAGTGTGGCAAAAATTTGTTGATTCAGGTAGACAACGGCAAAGGTGCAGCAACTATCCCTTCTTTCATAGAATAGCAACTAATTTAGGGATGATTTTAATACATCAGAATAAATTTTTAAAAAGTTTATACAGGTATTTTTATTTGATTCTGTTGAAATGAAGTGTACAAACACTGCTACAATTATTGTAACCAATGGAAAATTGAAGTATAATATATCTGGATTACACGATTTAACGGTAGAACTACCGAGCGTTTAATAGGATTATTATGTAACCCTTATACAAATTGTAACGATACATTTCTGTTGACTTTTTCGTATATTTATTGTAATATTTTATATATCTATATATCTACATATAAGAGAAGTTATTTATTTTTAAAATCATTTCTTATATTTAACACTTTTGAGATATTAACACGTTGAATGCCATGGTGGTCACTTCCCAACCACGAATTACTATAGTTAGCTCAATTAAAAGACGATTATTTGAAAACATTTTTACATTATAAATAATGTTGCCTAATGTGGTGACATTCAGCTAGACGAACATGCCACGATAATGCAATTCAATTACATGATTTAATATTCTACTTTTTCCATTTTATGTATTTGGTCTACGAAATCGTGCGGCATTCAACGCGTTAATCATTGCGATATAAAAGAACTGGAACTCGTCATTATGACGGGTGTGGTAGTTCTAATATTAATTGCGAGATTAATAGCTCAGATAAATGAAAACTCGAGAAGAAGCTTTACAAAGTATGTTTGCAAAGTTCGATCGTATATATGCTGAGATATAACTTAACACGTTGGGCATCAGCGTTTGTTTCGACGACGATTTTCTCAATTGTAATATTTAATTCAATCCAACAAATGTTCTAATCGAAATATTGAAAACATGAAACTAAAATGAGTCACTGAGTTCCTGCATATAATGCCATAGCTTGTAACTTCAAATAACAATATTTATAGAATTAATTTAATTTTCCTTATATAAAATATAGGTTTATGGTCATCACAAATATACAACGCTGGTAGCGAACGTGTTAGGAATCTGATATACTGAGTTTCTAGATAATTAACATAAGACTCTAATCGACGTGGACCACGAATATAATTAATAGAGATTTTACAGTAATTTACTTAACAAAACAGAAAATAAAACGTTACGAACCATCCTAGCCACAATTTCTTAACTTGCTGTGTATTTTACAGATTAACAAAATTTTGTTTGTTCAATAAATCACCATGAAAATTCATTTTTTAAACTAATACAAAAATTGTGTCACCCAAATTCGACTGACTTGGTGGTTATCGTGTTAAAGGACAGAAATCATTTGCACGTTCTATCAGATAACGCACATGTCTAAACAGTTCGTCCTCACTAAATTACGAAGTCATACAGTGACTCATAAATTCATTCACGCGTTCCCGACATATTTTTCTTGGAAGGTGTAGTCAGAATTTTTGTTTTGGAAGTATGAAACTTGAGTAGGTGTAAATAATCATTGTTGTAAGTTAAATTGCATACTTATTTTTCAACAGAATTTAACACTAAACGTATCGACACATTGAATGTATCTATTCCTGCCGTAACCAATCAAATGAGTGGTTGGAAAATAAAGGTAAATAAGTTAAACGGTGAGGTTTTCTTACTACAATTAGAAACAAGAGGAAAGGCACATATTGAAAAACTGATTAAACGGACAATATAAGAATTGGTAAAAGTTAAATCAACGAAGACAAACGCAGAGTTTTAAATAAAATTTTAAAACCGGTCGTTATACCGGTCGTGGTACATTCAGTGTTAAGTTTTATTTAAAAGAAAGAGGCATGGAAATAAACGGCTGCGAAGTTAAATGATTTATTAATTAGTATATGCTATAATTACTTCTTGCTTTGAAAACTGCTTCGATCTTTCTGAGAACATTACTTACTAACGTTATGCAATATTCTTTTGCAATGTTTGGATACTTCGTTTCAACAAAATCAAATAAAACTAGCTTCTAATTATAAAATATTAAAATTAGTATTGAAATCATCCCTAAATTTTTTCTATGTTTCATAGGTTGCCCTGTATATCATTTACCTTATGATTTCAGTAAAAGATAATTGATTCATAATAATATAAGAAAATTATATAATATCACCAGTCTTTAACAAATTATAATTATTTTATTATCATCTAATTTGGTGTCTAATATTGCTTCAACTTTCGTATAGAATGTTTAGCCAATGATTTCTTATTTGATATCACTTCTTGGTGCTAGGCAGTCTTTAACAACCCAGGTAGATAGACATCCTTTATGATTTTATGGTTATCTTAACGTTCCCCGAGTTGAACTCAGATCTCTCCTTTCTTTGTACTAAGGCACAGTTATCTAAGTATAGATCTGGCTGTTATCTGGAGACAGGATTGAATTAAATAGAATAGCGAATTTACTTTAATCTGCGAACAGAACTTACTTCAAGAATCGGTGGCTTTTATCACTCCATCGTTTCACAAAGTTGATTCGCTTTACGTAAATCGCTTTATTAATGAAAGGTTTCCCCGGAGCGAGTTGACCATGAAACTTATCTCCTCTTAATATTCTGAGACGCGTTTAAGACTTACTCGTTTTTTCGGAACTTCGTGCTGACATGTACACTGCCGGTCAAAAGTATGCAGAACTAGTTCTCATAATTAAGCAAAAGCAATATTACATATATAAGCTTAACAGGTTTGATAAAGGAAAGTGATAGTTCAAAAAAGTAATTCAACGCTTTCTTCCTTTTAATGCAAGTTTTGGTTACAAGGGCTTGAAAAGGTGACAAACGTTATTCAATCTTTCTGTCATGTAATTAGAACCTTTGGTTAGTTCAGTTTGAAGTACTGCAAAATGTTAATATTCAGAAAAATTGTAAGGAGGTAAGGATATAATAAAGTATAAATTATTTTCTTTTTACTGTGGGACCTCATAATATATTAAATTTAATTGTTGAATAATCAAATTTAAATACAATAATGATGAAACTATATTTTGTGTATAAGTTCTCTCATTTTATTTATTGTCAGTGGTGTATATTAATTGATTAATACTTGTAATTAAACGAAATTAATCGTCATATATAGTGACTGCTTTAATTTATACGCAAAATAATACCGAATTATTAATTTAATTAATTTGATTAACAATATTAATTACGTTAATTAACTGTCAATGCACGATTAAGGAAATCATTGAATGCAGTAAATATCGTTCAATACTAGTTATAATTTATTAATTATATTCGTCATAACTGTATTTATATAGCAGTACATAATTTAATTCGAGGAAATGAGAAAGGGATGGGGATTAAACACCCCTTTGTTGATTGTTGATCAGTCATAAATGTATCTACCTGCGTTCACCTATATCCAGCTTTCCGATTTTACAATCACCAAATTCTACGTATCCGCACACAATATTATTTTCATAACCAACACTTTCAATTACACGACGTAATAAATATCTCAAAAACAAACCTAAATGGAACCGACTCCTATAATTCCAGTAAGAAATAACATCAAAACCGTCTCAAACGCTCGGTAGTCCTGGCATTAAGAAGCGCATAAACCCAGTTCGTCACAGCTTAAAAATACGAATCAGTCTTCATCCTCCGAAAATTAGATTCTCCGGTGGCGTTCGTTTGGTCACGAACCCCGGCTTCGTTTCCCCGAAAAGGAAGCGCGCTCGGTCACGAATGAACGAACGAACGAATGAACGAAAAAAATAAAGAGTGTAAAAAGAGGAAGAAAAGGAGGGAAAAAAAGAAAATAGGGTTCTTAAATTTACATTCTCAAACATCTTCGTTTGTTTCAGGGAACACTTGTACCCTTTTGTTAGGGTGGGAGCCGTGCAATAAACCAGCGATTTAATAACCCACGGAGAACTTAGACCGTCAAAAGGTTCGAGCGCGGAACTGCAGCTGCCGGCGTGTTGGTTTAAAAATTGCAGTTCCAGCCAGGCTGACACGTGGGGGCCTTTTTTACGACTGATTTGATGTTGTGGCAGCCGCGGCGCGCGCTGTGACGGACAGAACCGTTCGCCGTTACGGACGGTTTAAAAGCAGCAGTAAAAGGACCTTCGGTGTGCCCGTGCGCTGCATCGCGGTCGCCGCGCATAGGACAAGCGGATACGATATGGATCTGCGGTTCAGGGTGAGCCGTGTTGTATCGTCCGCAGGTTACACGCGTGTACTCTACCTACTCGGTGTTCACCGTGAGTAGTTTTCATTCAGAACGTTCGCCTGAATTGTTCGAGCGAAGTTATCGAATCCGGAAATTTTTCAAATATAGTATACAGAATTTATGAAAAGTTAATAATTCATGACAGAAGAATAATATTCAATTTGTGTTCACAAAGATTGAGTAATATTAATATTCTATTAATTAAAACTATAATAATCGATGACAGAAACATAATATTCGATTTGTGTTTCCAAAAACTGAGTAATATTGATGTTCTATTAATTAGAACTACAATAATCGATGATAGAAGAATAATATTCGATTTGTATTCACAAAAACTGAGTAATATTGAGGTTCTATTAATTAGAACCAGAATCATCGATAAGAATAATATTCGATTTGTATTCACAAAAATTGAATAATATTTTAGTTTACAGCAAACATAGACATAGAAGGTGCTTAGAATCTTTATCTTTCTTCAATAAATTATTAAGAATATAGCAGTGTATCGATCACAGTTGAAAAGGAGTTAATATTATTTCGGTTTTAACTTCCAGGCCTAATATCGGCATTAAGATCGTACCAATATTCCTGACATTGTGTATCGGAAGTAGCAAGGAAAATTCGAACTTGGAAATTCAACAAATTATGAAACTTTGTGTGTAAATAGAGTAAGTCAAGCCTAATATATTGCAATTTTTTGTTCGTACAAAATTTCTCTTTCTCGTGAGAATGATAAGAGAAAATGAAAAGAAGTTTCAATAACAAATACATTGTTCTTTCACATCTATAAAAGTACGAAATAAAATTTTTCGAAAAGTTGAAATTTTAAATAGTTTGTATTTTTCAAGAGGTGTTTTTACCCTTTCAAAGTGAAATTCGAAACGATCAATACAAAATTTTAAATCAAATTTTAAAACCGGTAATTTGACCGGTCGCGGTACGTTTTGTGTTAAGATCGCGTATAAGAACTATCTCATAAATAGTGTTCTAATTTACCTCGTAAAAAAGAGACTTACGTGAAAAAAGTCCGCGTAAATCGAGGGGCAGATGTATTCACATTACGAATTCCGTTCACTATTTCGGTTCAATCTCGCTCTGTCTTTGTTCATTGCAGGCAATGAACAAGGAAAGAATTATGAGTGGACTGAGAGCGGACGAACAGTATGTATCAAGCTTTATTCTCTACCCCCGGAACTTTTACTTCACTTCTGGGAACAAAGATGAACTTCAAAGTAGTCACGTGGTAAATCTTTGGTATACATTCGTCTCCGGATATTCCTGCCACGTGAGGGGAATATGTGGTCTTCGTTTCACTAGTTACGCTTCTATCAGGTTGTGACACGAATAGTTCGGACACCGCTATAAACGTGTTCCAATTCTAAGAATTGATCTATTACTACAGTATTAAATGTAGAAATTTATTTACTACCTTTTTCTTCAATCATTTACAAATTAACGCTTCAACGCAATCGACTATACTCGGCATCCACATAATTTGCTTTTCTGTGTTATTGCAACGTAAAGTAGAGAAAAGATTTGCACTTGTTATTGTAAAAAATAAATGAAGTCTACCGGTTGGAATTCGAGAGTACGATGTCAGGTAATTTGTTTGAAATTTAAATTCTTTTACGTAACAATCTTTTTTACATAGAGAATGTAGTTTTAAACGTTTCTTTGTTATTTTATCTTGAGATTATCCAGTTTTGTTTCAAGGAGGAAATAAAAACATAAAAGCTATTGGGAAATTTGAGCAGTTCTTCTGTAAACAGGCACTATATTTATTTAAAAAACATACATAATTAGTTTTTACATCTAATATGGTGGCCCATGAATAACGCTTTTACAGTTTTATTCGTTTTCATTCTGTAGTGACCAAGAATGGACGATTTATGATTGGAATGAGTAAGTTTTTGTTTGAGTGTTCATATATATACAGGAAATGATTCGAAATTCGAAAGATCAAAAATCGCTTGAGAGATTAAATATTCATAAATTTTCGTGATTTTGTAAATTGTTGAGGATCGTGAACCATGAAATATAGTCCGAATGGTCTGGGTTAAATCTTGACCGAAAGGTATATGTTTATACTTCTATTTTTACAATTCTCTTCTGCTTGTTATTTCCTTTCACTCCTCGTGTCAACCAAATGAACTTGAGTTAGTTGAATGTATGAATAATAAAACAAGGTTGCATGTGTTTTTAAGTGCAATAAAGTGAAAAATATTGACACTATATTACGTTCACGGACACCTCGTTGAATTCAAGTCGTGCGTTGAAATGTGAATGTGTTTGATAGATGCAGACAGTAGCTTAAAGTCTACTATTTTTAATAACAATTAACAACTTTTTATTGTATTATCTTGTGAAAGAACATTGCTTATTGTAATTCGTTGTTCGCAGTCACAGTTGTCTTGTCCGTGAATGTTTTGATATATTGTATTTAAGAAACAGTAAATACCGTTTCTTTTTACACAAACTGTAAGCATTACTGCAATTTTATAGTAGGATTACTAAAATATTTCTCTTTAATTCTTTTTGAATAATAAATATTTTTAATAGTACAAGAAAAATGGCGAATAATCTTCTACCACACAAGCTATGAAACTTAGATGTTTTATAAGTTCTATAATAATAGAATTTTTATTTTATTATATTAGAATAGAATTCTATTATGGTTAAAATTCTATTATAAAAGGATTCTATTCTAATATAAGAAATTTAAAGTTCTATTCTAATGTAGTAAATTTAAAATTCTGCCACAATAGAAACCTATTATAATGTAACAGATTTAAAATTCTATTATAATCGAATTCCATTATAAGTTTCCTCATTTTTTCTCTTTCTTTTAGTAACAAGTCATGGGCAGTATCTCTCATGTAACCGAACTTACAACTGGAAGAAGTTAAATCGATACCTGCTGTGATCTCAGTAAAACAACTTGTAAAAGTTTTCTCGGCTCATCCTGTATAATATTCCCACGTACTCGCATTGTTGCAAAATTACATTGAATGCAAAACAATGTAGATAAGTAATATTTAATTACCTATTGTAACCTGTATGAGGTCAATCGTGTTTATCATGTCTGATCGTTCAGGTAGTGTGTCTATAGTGATGAAATAAATCAACGTGGTTGACGTTAAATGTCATTGATAATTACGATGTTATAACAAATGGTTATTCAGTATATTTATTTTCTCTGTTCGAAAATTACGTTTTAACGTTGATGCAAGGTACAATTTGTATTTGGTACCAAAATATTAGTTATTTCCACATTAAAAGTTATTTTTAACTCTAACAAAGTTGATATTTTCTATCCACATTCCTTAAATAATTCCTCAGTTACTCTGTTGGCTGAAACTGTTTTAAAAAATGAAGTTGGATAAGTACATTTCCGTTTCAGGTTCAATTTTACGAATTAATTACAAACTGTCTTGGAAAGAGATGTTAAATATAATTTAAGTCGTGAATAAGTGGATGACTTTAATGTAACATTTCTGCGTAAGAAAATATTAAAATCTGACTCACTAAAATTGTATTATATTTTGAAACTATAAACCATGCGATATCGGTTTAGTTTCTGCATATATTTTCTGTTCCTAACTATTCAATATTAATTGAAACAATTTAAATATAAATCTAACTTCGAATTAGTTTGTGTTGATCAAATTCTTTCTCGCAATTTACCATATTCTTCAATTTTAACTGTTTTACTAGTAACAATTAACAATGTCATAATATAGCATGAACTAAATGAATGACTGTTTCATGATTTAGAAACCTGTGTATTTTTAAGAAAAATGAAAGATAATATGTAACAATGGTAATTAAGGAAAAAACGTTATTTTATTAACATAAACGTGGTATGGTCATTGGTGCTCATGTTAAAAATACATATTTCTTTTAGCAGATGCATAGCGATGGAAAACAAGTGAAAGTTGAGGTAGAAGGTGAACAGAATGATCACATGCAACGGTTAAATGTTACCATAAGAGAATACGACATTCCGTTGAATCAGTTGATTTGTCCCTTTCATTTCACATTTACGTATATTTATTGTTTCTGATTTTAATTCTATCGGTTTACACTTGCATTACGTAAATTGCTGCAAAAGTTTAAGAAAACCTCCATTCCTACCTTTACCATTCAGTTGTTTATTTTCGTAAAGCGTCACATTTATCGGTTTGAAAGCTGCTAATACAACACAATGGAAAATGTGTTAATGTTGAAGGAAAATATTTCGACAAACAATGAAACTATTCAAACTTATTTGTAATTTTCCTTATGCTTTCCCAAAACTTTTACAGCAACCCAAGTGCAATATTATCAACGCTTTCTATTCGCAGTTTTATTTTATCTCTATAAATTTCTGTTCAGAAGTTACGAAATTCTAAAAAACATATGATTTCATTAAAAAATTATTATATATTAAATTTAAATTTCTCTGAAAATGTGACACGCTGTTGCGTAGAGGTACACATTTGAAAATCCAGTGGTTGATAACGCTGTTTCTTGGAAAGACACAATCACAAATTGCGGCATTAGTAAGGCATCTATTATGCCAACACAGATAAAGCGAGTAAATTGCTACAATTTTTAGGACATTTGTAACTATCATACTGACTTTGTAATTTCTGCTTCGTCATCTAATTGTGACCATGACGTAGAGATACTGGTAAACAAGGAATAAAAGCAATTTAAATTATTTAAACACTTCTATAAATATCTTAGAGGACTTGTCAAATACAAAGCTTGATAAAATATAATTCACTACCATTTTATTTCTAATTCATTAAAATTATATAAAAAGAGATGTTGGTTAATTTTCATGTTTTCAAATTCTTCTATAATTTTACATAAATTCTTCAATACTTCTTTTTCTTTCTTATTCTAATTACAAATATGCGAGTACCAAATATAATAAATTATCGTAAGAGGTATACATTTATCAATTTTATACTTATACTAAAATATTATTTTGTTACGTAGATATTTTAACAGAACATATTGCTTATACAATTTAAGTATTTAACTTAAAACTATTGTAGAAATATTAATGAATATCGTAATACAATTACTCAGCTTCATCTAATTACCGGAGTAATTTAATTACGTACATTTTTTCTGTAAAGATACATTCGTGGTTGGAAGGCAGGACTTCTTTAGTCACATATTTTTTTATCTCAAGATGCGAAAATTGGACGTCAAGAAGTTGCAGTTTTCACGTCCGAGAGCATTACGCTGAACTAGGATAACTATCCGTCAATAATGGTGCACGTAAGGCAGGTCAGGTACAAAGGTGGATATTAACATACTGTATTAGACACAGAGACCTGACTCACGCGACCGTATTGACAAATTATAATTGCTAATAATTTGAAAACGTAACAGGAACTATTAACCAACGTTCGTGCTAAAGAAAGGCAGTAATGTTTCTTTTATGGCACTGTTGGTAATAAACAAATGTTTTTAATATCATACCTGACGATTATGTCTCGAGAAGTATTAGAAATCATAACGCAAGCTCGAAAATTACTTTAACACTTATTGGTAGCTAATCGAATGAGGAGATCTCCCACTTTTCATTTTTCAACGCATTACCATTTACTTTTTTTATTTTCATTTTGTTATTTAGTAAGCTTTGAACTGGGGATATTCAGTTTCATATTGTTCAAATTTTTCATCAAATTGTTTTTCAATAATAATTAAAATTATTGAGAAAGATTGTACTTATAGTTTCTTTGCAGGTGGTTGCCTAAGTGTGAATAAGTTATCACTTTAATAAATTAATTTAACAAAGAAGTATAATTTTTATAATTAGTTTTCATTATATTTGTTATAGTTCGTAACTATGTAATTGTCACATCACTCGTTGGTTCAAAATATCATTTTGATTGAAACGAATGTAAGTATCGAAATAAATTTAATGATAATGTGAATTAACTTACTGTTGAAAAATTATATTAAGACTTAATCAACGAATCTTGTACTGGACGAATATCGAGATACGTTAATGTGTTATGGTAGAGTTTCTAGGTCTTACACTCTTGTTGCTCGTAATTGTTTTCGCGCGCATGACTTCAGAATTTAGTGGACAACCCTGTAGTAAAACATGCAGGATGATTTAGAACGGGTATAAAGTACTTTGAAATATTGAGTACGTCGTTCCGATTAAGGGTAGAAATATTATTCGAATATGTAATTACATTGTAATTTAATATTTCGCCGTTAATATAACAAAATGATAATAAAATAGAAGAATGTATCTAAAGTGTTGGTTGTTTATAATTCCGTTTAATTTTAATAGGCATTATAACGAACAATATAATACAATACATAATAATAATAATAATAAATATTAATCGAACAACCAATATTCGAATAATCAAACGTTCGAACAGTCAATTCTCGAATTATCGAACATTACAATAATCAATATTCGATTAATCGAAATTTTTTAATCGCCAAACATTTAACAGACCAATGTCTAAATAGTCAAATGGTTTCTTAATTAACTTTCAAATAATTATAAAGTTGAATAATCGAACGTTCGAACATTCGATGCTCGAACAATCAACCATCCGATCCCTTGTATCAATAATACTCGTCAAATTCACCCCGAGCTCACCGAACATTTGACGCTAAAACAACGCCAATAAATTTCCCAATGGAAAAACATACCGCGCAGCCCGGAATACAGTAATTTCGTGGCTGTAACCAAGCGTGTTCTCGAAAAGTCATTGAAAATGAAGGGAAATTACAGTGCAATCTATCTGGGCAATGTCGAAAAGCACAAGCAGGCGTTGCGCGCGCGGATTCTAGGTTACGTTGGTAGCCGGGGCTGAGTACTACAGTGTCCGACTGGTGGACGGTTCGGTCATATTTTATCCTCTCTTCTTGCTTCTTCAACTCGTCTACCATTTCCCGCTGGCTCTCTATAACATTTCATTATTACGAGTTGGCCACGCCGTCCGTGATTTATCTCCAGGCGAGCGTTTTCTCAGCGAAAGAAAGATCGTGGTAGCGCCGCTAGTATGTCCCAGCGCGAGGCGACGCGATGCGACGCGCAGCTCCGTCTTGGAACAAACGTGTCTAGCCTGGACGGTGGAAAACGTAAGCGAACACGGGGGAAACGGACGGGCCTTACGCAGCCGCAAGAACCGCGCTCGTGAATGGAGTACGTAATTAAGAAAATGAAATCACCATGAGATTCACGTTTACGGCAACGACTTCGAGAATGCGTCGGTTTTTTGCCGCCGATACGCCTCGTTGTTCCCCGGTGTTCCTTGCAATTAACGATCGCTTTATCTAGCGAGCCTCTCTCCGCCCCTCCACCCTCTGCTCCTACCCCGAGACACGAAAAATCACGATGGTTTAATTGTGCTGTTATTTCTGAGATTTAAAGGGGGTACTCCCGTTCGGGCGGGCCGTTTTTCGGCGACTTCTTAATTACGATTAGATTAAAAAGTAATAAACTTGAATCCCGCGAGTGTTTATTCATATTTTAAGGGGGTAAGATAATATTTTTACGCGGTTTTTACGAGCATTAACAAAGTAATTAAATGTTATATGTAATGTTTCATTTTGTACTGGCGTGGTAATATCTGACGAACGACTGAACCGATTTTGCGATTTTGCGTAGGAATGAAGTAGGTAGACAGACCTTGGTAATCTGCAGTAAAATTATCTCAGTATCTGCAACGGTTTTTGTTCTTTAATCGAAGAAGAAGTATGAAATCTTCATGAAACAGATATTTTGTCTCTACGCGGCCGCTGTTTTGTTGCACGCATTTTTCTTGGTTCGTTTTAATGTGGAGGATGACCATGTTCATAGCATTATTTTCTGTTTCTACGTTTCAGATGAAGGCAACGAGGATAATAGTAACTTTGTTAAGTTAATAACTTTGTTGGTACGCATAAAATTGCATTCAAATATTAATATGTTCTCTTAAGATATAAATAAATCAGTATCATTAAAATAA